GAATTTTACGTCAAATATATCAAGCAATTCCTCATCGACTCTGAAAGTCGGTTATGAGGTGTACGATCAACCTTCCTGGACTCTTTTTTGCTATTCTCTCCTTTTTCAATTGGGACCAAAAGGAAAGGGAAAATGTCTGGGGGTATAAGTTTTTGGAACTTCTGGTACATCGAGCATCTTTTCATTAGCCTCTTCAGGGCCAAAGAAGCAGGTGCAACATCTCAGACTTCAGTATCTTTTTACTTAATATCTTATGATGCTTCCAGCTAAAGCAAGAGAGCTTTTGCAAGTTGACAATATCATATCTTTAATGGTGAGCTGGTTTTCATTTAGGTGCACTTGGCCAGGGAGAAATGGAATGTAACCAGATTCATACATATTTCCACGTTTGTAACAAGGTGGAGGAATGGTGCTGGGTCCACACCATTTCGCAGGGAAAACGAAGTCAAGAAGTTCCAAAAATTATGATAAGTTTTAAATCTAATAATAATTTTTGGAACTTCTTGGCTTTATTTTCCCCGCGGAATGATGTGGACCCAGCACCATTTCTCCACCTAGTTATATACAGTTCGGGCCACTTCTTGTTTCTTCACATTCCACATTTGTAAACATGACTATGGCAATTCCCGTTCGTCGGCCCACAGATGCTCGATATTTACAAAATACTCTGCATTAGAAAGCCAAATAGTAATCTTCTTGACAATGGATTATTGTTCTTCTCCCTTCCAAAAAATAGCAAGCATAAGTTTAAGGGAACTGATTAACCCAGTTGGCAGGAAATTCTTTGATATATTTGGTAGTAAAATTTAGTTTGAACACACGGTCTGTCACTTACAACTAGACAGCTCAAATGAAATTATTTTCCCACAGCATTATTGGAGTTTATTTTGCAACAAAATTCGTAACTGAAAAAATGGAAATCTCACTGGTTGCACAATCATTGTGGGAGAGCAACCTAGAAGCCATATTTTTGTGGAGCTGAAGAAACACACTTCACTTTTTATTAGTTTAAAGGTGAATATTTAGTATTTTAACCCTACTTAACAGTTCCATGCGGATCAAAGAGAGTTAAGTCACTTTCCATTCAACAGTCTTTTAACAAAGCTTTGAAGGAGGAGAAACCCATCACAAGATTTCACCTGATAAATGCAGTCATCTATGGTCGTTCTAATTACATAGTCAATGTTGGGCATTGACACATTGAATACACTAAACATTATTGAAGCAGAATGTGCAAAGTAGATGAAGACAGTTTGGAATGTGAATGTTGCATCCGCAAACGATGAGTCTGTTGCCCACCAGAGATACAGCGAAGTGTATATACTTTCCACAGATAAAATCAGGATGGGCTCATCAAGAGAAGTCTGAAATCCTCTCTTCAACGCACAATTTGCCAAAGGAGGGCTATCGATAAGGGCCTTTTTTGGCTCTCCCTAGAGGGCCTCTTTTGGCCCCCCCTAGAATCTGGAAATTTATGCGGGTTTTCCAAGTTGACTCAATGTGGTTTACAGAAATAATCATGATTTGGTCCTTAGGCCACTAAAGACATGATAAATGGTTGCCTGAATATTAGCATTTAGCGAAAATGCGTGTTTTTCTATCACTCCGAGGCTTTTTTGACACCGAGCGCATCGTCTAACTAAAACGAGCTTTTGATATGTTATCAAGGAGGCTTTAAGACACATTTTAACCCTGGTTTGGTTTTAGTTAGATGATGCGCTCATAGTTTAAAAAACTTTTTCAAAAGTCGACTTCTAAGGGACATCCGGAAAAATCTTAAGGAAACACGTCTCTACAACTGTATGCATGCTATGTATATTAACGAGGGCAGTTATCAAGCCTTCTTAAACTCTTACATGGAGATTTTTTTCAATTGTAGCAAAAAAAAAAAAAAAACCCTAGGACGTAATTCCGGAAGATTTTTGCAGCTGTCCCTTAGAAGTCTACTTTTGAAAAAGTATTTTTTAACTATGAGCGCATCATATGATAAAACCAAACCAAGGTTAAAATGTATCCTAAAGCCTCCCTGATAACATATTAAAAGCTCGTTTTAGTTACACGATGCGCTCGGTGCCAGAAAAGCCTCGGAGTGATAGAAAAAACACGCATTTTCGCTAAAATATGCCTGCAGACGCATGTTCAGGCGACCGTTTAACACGTATCTAGTGGCCTATGGACCAGATCATGATTATTTCCGTAAACTGCATTGAGTCAACTTGGAAAACCCGCATAAATTTCCAGATCCTAGGGGGGGGGGGGCAAAAAAGGCCCTTATCAATACCCCTATTTTGTGAAACATTGTTTTAACTTTCCCTCGTCTGCGGGCAGTTTTTCTAAGTTGCTGGCGACCAAGTTTGCCTTGATAGAGACGTAAGATAACCTCACCTAAAGAAACATCTCCTAAGAATTTGTCCATGAATAATTTTAATTTTTATAAAGCGATTGTTGCCTCCTTGTTTCTTTGTGTTGTTTTCCTTTTCATTGTGTGTCAAAAGCTTTGAATCAATGGAAATCATACACATGGAAAATTTTTAATGGTTTACAAAACTGATTGTTTACTTGGGTTAGGTTTTCTTGCGTCTCTCTCAGCACAAATATGATTAAGGGCCACTATGGAAAACTGCCTATGGTTGCAGGAGGTTGGCAAAGCATGTGACTACGCAGTTGGTTTGCTAATGAGTGCACTTTAGACTTTTTCAAAGTGCATACTATGATTTTATATGATTTAACCTGCACTGCCGTGATAGCAAAGAGAGACATAGATAAGTGCAAAAATAAAGTTGGGAAAAAATAGGCTCAGAAGCGTCTGAGCTTGAGTTGTTGGACAATTTTATAAGAAGGATCCCCCATGCATAGTCAAACTGCCACTGATCACCCTAAAAACTCAGATATCGTGGCCATTATCGAAAATTGACCAATTTTACTAAGAACTATATGAAAAGGGTCTTACTTTTTTCATGTTAGGCAAGACAGCCGTAAGTACTATCTTCTGCATGCGCTGGTGGTTGCACTTTGGACCCACAAACAAATGTTAAGGTTAGAAATCGGCAGAAAAGGGCGCCATTTTAGTTGTAAGTACAACTTATGTTGCTTCTATAACAGAATAATGCCCCTTGCGGCTGCTGTGTCTAAAAAGACATCAATTTTTACTCTCTTATCCCTCATGCAAAAATCTAGTTTCAAGACATACAAATAAGACGAATTTTGCTGTTCCAGCTACATCAGTGATTTTATATGAATAAATTCGACGAGAAAGATTTTAACAAAACTTGATTTCGAAAATTTGAGTTATAGCTCACTTCGCTGTCACAGCAATGTAGAACGTCCATTCACACAGCTGTATCTCTTGTGAGCAACAGACCCGTTCTCAAACAAACTCAGTTTAAAGTAAATAGACCCTGGCTTTGCCAACCGTTCTTGCACACTCGCACTGTCAACCTGAGTCTTTTCTGACCTGTACTTAAAATGTACATAAACTAGAGGTTTTACTACATTTTTTTTTCATTTTTGGAGGGGCTTCCCACCACAGGGTTACACTGCCCCCACCGAAGTTCTCCTTCAGGGTGTGGGATGTGCAAACATTAGTTAGCAAGATTTATAAAAAACCTATAAAAATATAGAGTGATCCCTAAGTCCCACACTCCTTCCATGAATTTTTTTCTAATTGAACAATTGAGTTGAACACTCGGACCCTGAGGCAAAGAGAGGTATGTTTTGTCCCTTCTAAATCGTTGAGGGGCCTTAGGGGGAGAGGGTGGACCCAAACTTTGACTCCAAATGGCAACTCCCATTTTGTGATACATCGTTAGAAAGAGCATAAAAAAAAAAATTTTTGACACTGAGTTCAAGTCTCTTATCACTGGTTCAAAATGACAGCCATTTAACAAGGCGGATGAAGAATGGTGATCGCATTTCGTACCCTCTGGACGTCACACGGTATCGGGTACATCGGGTACATGGGCCGGCCGAGGCCGGGGGAGTCGGCTCAACCTCGAATTGCATGGCAAAAGCCGTACCCTCCTGACGTCACAGTGCTTCAAGATGGCAGCCAAAATCGAAATGCGACCACCATTCTTTATCCGCCTTGGCCATTTAAAGTTAGGCCAAAAAAATATCCTGGGAAACTTTGAACGAATTTGTTGCAAATATACAATTAGGAAGTTCTTTGGATTGACCCGCAGGAATCACATGTTAGTTTTTCAAAATGCTGCTCCTTTTCAAGCTGGCGCGGAGCTTGTGATTTTCCAGGCCTTTGTTCGATTAGCTTCTTATAAGGGAAAAGGGGAATTTTTGAGATGTGTAGCACGAATTTGACAATAGTTTTTCAAACACTTATTCTTCTAATAGATGGTGGCTTTATTCTGGAAAAACTTCAGGACCTTCTAGAAAAACTAGCATATTTTGTGTCCATGCATGACAAATTGCCAAATAATCTGTTCATAGGTTGCTGATTGAGATTCTCATTTCAACCTTATCCAGCCGCCATTTAGAAACAGCGATACCTAAAGTTGACTAGAAGTTGCGTCATTTTTCTAATTCATTTTTATTTTTAACTTCTTGAATTCCTTTTTTTTTTTTTTGCTCTTTCAGCAATGTACCACAAAGTAAAGGTTGCCATTTGAAAAAAAAGTTATGATGATTACCCCCCTCTCCCTCCCCCTCCCACGATTACTGAACGGAAAAAATGAAATTGCTAGAAAAATTGACTGCAATGTTTCAATGTAGATTTCACAACACAAAAATGCTACTTTAACCACCCCCGTGAATAAGTTAACTTACAAAAGTGGTTAAGGTAGCATTTTTCTGTTGTAAAATCTATGTTGAAACATTGCAGTCACTTCTTTTAGCAATTCAATTGTTAAATCAGCAATTTTTTCCGTGTGGACTTCAAGAAGAGGAAAGAGTTCTTCAAAAAAATAACACCCCCCCCCCCCCCCGTCCTCTTGACCGAACACAGAAAAAGAATAATAAGAGAGGAAAAAAGTCACATAAAAAAAGAGTGACAGGCAGTGATTTGAACATTTTTTCAAAACTCATCATAACACCCTCGGAATAGCACCAAAGTCAATGGTGATTAATTTTTCAAGTATTATTATGAAAGTCTTCACTTCATTACCACAGAAGATAAATGCATAACTTTACATGTCTCTTTGCAAAAATTGAAAAGAAGAGAAATCCACATCAGAGCACTAGATTGACCATTGGAGTTGATCAAAGTAGGCTAAACCCAACAGGCATAAATGAATGGTCACTTTTTCCATGAGGTAACCGGTAGCATAGACTGAGGCATGAATCTTAAAATCTGATTTGTCCACTTATAATTTGCTGATAAACATCTGCAGTAAGAGGCTGATATTTACTGTCAGAGGCAAGATAAAATAATTTATCCGTAATTTTATTAGGATTATAACCTTCGTCTTGTAGATCTAATTTCTTTAGCTTATAAGTACCAGTCATTTCCACTTGATTTAAAGCTCGGATAAAAAGAGGACGAGCATATGAAGGCAGATTTTTCTTTGTTTGTTGAGCTACAGTTTCAAGGTCTAAAGAATTTGTTGGGTCTAAGATAGCTGCCATGCCAGCCCGCCCTTCAGTTCCATTGATTTCAACACCGTAGACAACACAGTCTCTGTAGGCTGCTGCGTTACTAATCACTCCTTCCACCTCTGATGTCGAGACGTTCTCACCTTTCCATCGGAACGTATCCCCTGTTCTATCTTTGAAGTACAAATAACCAAACTCGTCTGAAACTAGGATGTCTCCTGATAGAAAGGCAGAATCTCCCTTTGAGAAGACATCTCGCACAATTTTCTTCTCGGACTCTTTTTCATTTATGTATCCTAGGAAAGCCCGAGCAGGGTTATTTGGAATTATTTTTCCTATAAATACTCCAGGCTCTCCAGGTTTGCATCGCTGACACAAACCTTCTGCATTTCTCACCGGGTTTCCATTTTCATCCACGCGGATGATAGAGATTGGATATATTGAAGGGACGAGTCTGGAAACAAATCCGATGGCCCCAGTTTTATTGTCAATGTTTGCAATATTTGCATTACCTTCAGTAGCACCATAAAATTCTGCAACCTTAGGAATATTAAATCGAGTTACAAATTCATTCCAAATTTGAGGCCTTAACCCATTTCCATACATCATTCGTAAATTGTGATTCTTATCTTCAGGCTTCTCTGGAGTTGATAACATGTAGCGGCACATTTCTCCAATATACTGACCAACCTGCAATAGGACAAAACAAGGGAATTAACTAGGATCATACTAGAAAATTAATAGACAATGATGAGGTAAACCAATTCCCTCTGCTCTGAGTTTTCATCAGATGATACATAAAAATAGAATATCATCGGAGTTAGCTTCAGGTTTAGAGACCAAGGCAGAAAAGGAGCATTGGAAGAATAGTTCACTAGCCGGTGTCACACTATCAAAATACTCCATCAAAATGTCTTGGTCAAGTCCTGTCATTGGTCCAAGTCATCGAATAAGCCAATCTCAACACCTGACCATGATATTTTCATGGCTAGCTTCGATAGTGTGACACAGGCTCATGAGTGTGCTCGTTGGTTGAGGGCCATCAGAATGAATGGGAATTATAGAGCGCCAGTGACGTCGGCGTTGACGATCGGGAGTACCAGGATCGGGGACTATAGCCTGTGTCACACTATGAAAATACTCAATCAAAATGTCAAGGTCAAGTGCTGCAATTAGTCCAAGTCATCAAATAAGCCAATCACAACACCTGCCCTTGATATTTTGATGGCTAGATTTGATAGTGTGACACAGCCTAATACCTGCAAAAGCTGTTTCATTGGAATATTTCCACTTGATGCTTAAAATTGTCGTTTCCCAGATAAAGGAACGTAACTATACAGGGTGTACCAAAAGTCCTTCCCAACCCTGCTAACTTTTGAACGAATTGAGCTAGGGTGATGAAACTTTGGGAATGTTCCTATCTCAATGGGGACCATCTTTTTGGGGGGTCAAAATTTTGGTCCCCCCTCAGGGAGGGCGCGGGGGGCCCCCAACTTTTTTTTTTCAAATGGCAACCCCTATCTTGTGATACATCATTCGAAAGACCATAAAAAACTAAGAATTTTGGCGCAAACCGCAGATCAATATCTTAATTTTTGACCGAGTTATGATAGGTCAAAGGTCAACTTTGACCTATTTTCAAAAAATCATAACGCCGGTTCAAATTATCGTAAAGGAAAAAATAAAACGGGAAAATTTACCAAATTGTGTCCGCTTTTAAGTAAAAATTGCAAAAATCACTTCGATTTAATTTTAAGGGGGGGCTCGGACCCCCAAATACGTCAATTCAAAGGTCATTCAATTTTCCCGCGAAAAAAGGCAATTTCCCCTAGTAGTCCAGTCAATCTAGCTTTTTACCTCGGACAAATTAGCACAAACTTTTCCTTTGGTATATAGAGTCTCTAGGTACCCAATAAGACAGAAAAAAAAGTTTACCAAAAAATTCCACCGGGAAAGTGGTCAAATCGCAGTTTTTCAAAATGGCGGCTTACGGCAATTTTCAAAGAGGACGTACATACGGATTTCCCTTTATAACTCAAAAATAATGCGTCAAACCAAAAAAATTTGGCATTAGTTTGAAAGATCATAAAATTTTGATTAAGAATCATATACAAAACTTAGGCTTTTCTTATTTTTTTCTTTCCGAATTTTAATATTTAATAACAACAACCGGCAAAATCTGCTGAAAATTCACGATTTCTCGCGTTCTTGACCAATTTTAGGTCAAAATAATTAATTTAAGGTTAAAAACAACGGCACCACTGAAAAGTACGCTAAATTTTACATAAGTATACCCATTCATTTTACCTTTCCATCTTATATGACCTCATTGTGAGACGAATCATTCAAAAGCATGAAGTCAATATTCAACTACAAATTCAGCTGTTTTTTTCCGTTTCCAGCGCTTTTGATCAATTATTTTTCGACAAAAGTATAACTTATATATACTTTTTAGAAAGGTAATGAAATTTGCAAGACAAATAACACCCTGGTTTTCATTTAAATTTTACAACATGTACCTGAAAAGCGTATTTAAGGGAATTACGCTAAAAACTGATTTCTCTAGAAATTTCAGAATTTCAACGATTTTCGGCTTTTTGACAGCTGGAAACTGAGGATCTGATTCAACGACGGTAATCATCGTTTAGAGCATAAAATTTCCAACAAATTGCATACCTGAAATTACTGGTTTGAATTTTTTAAAGAGGGTTAGATATGGCGTTAAAGTTGTCTATTGGAAAATCCGGCTGCTCGGTTACGAACCACTTTCTTAACATATACTCAAAATTTTTAAGTTTAGTAATTTTTGTTTGAAGTAAATTTTATGGTACCAATGTAATAGCACATGGAAGTTAAAAAAATGTCCATGAATAAATTTTTTAAGGTATTTAAGTGTACTTAGAAGCCAATTTTTGAGACGGTGAAAATTTACAAGTTATTGAATAATAAGGCTTTTTCTCAGGTTTTTGTGGTTTTTCATGGCTGCAAACAATTTTTTTCGTCAAACCATGGTAATCATCAAAAAGCTGATAAAATTTTATGTAAAAAATGTACCTTTATTTGAATTTTGGCGTCTCTCGTGAAAATGCGGAGGCAATGTTGAAAAAAATTGCAATTTGCCCGAAAAAAATTTTCCCGCGATTTTTCTTATTTTTTACGTGTTAAAAAGAGTTTAAGAAAAAAAACAAGGTAAGAAATGAAAAGTTCATAAAATTTTCTATAACATAGGGCTAGTGAAGTTTGCTGTAAAGTCTTTTTGAGGGGTCCTAGCACTGAATTTTGGTTTAAAAAAAGTTAAAAAAAAATTGATGAAATTTAATTTTTTAGTTATTTTTGAGATTTTATCGCTTTAAAATGAGCTTTAAAGTTAAAATGAATGATGTAACTGAAAAGTACGTTAAATTTCGGTCTAGAAAAGTGTGTTCAACATCCTTTCAAGTAATTATATTTGCCGGTAGGATAATTTCTTCTGGGATCAAAACTGACGCTTTTCTTAAAAAAGTCCATTTTTAGCTCCATTTTTCTAATTTTTAAGCATTTTAGAGGGGTCTGATCAAAAAACCACTGTAACCACGTGAAAGTACATAAAATTTAAAATAAGATTACGTACCTTGTTTCAAAAATTTCGATATTTTTTGTGTTTGACACGGTTTTATTTAAAATTGTCAAAAATGGCAATATTTACAGAAAGTTGATTTTCTATGCTAAGCACCATCCCTTTATTGGATTGGGTTGTATAATGAAGGCAGCTCGGGGAGCGGGTCTTTTTGCGTTGGAGGAATCAATACTAAAACTAATAATTACAATAAATTCAATACAACATTGAAAGTTTGGAACCTTTGGGCGGTCAACTCTAGCGAAAGCGCAAATAAGGATTAAATCGCGAGTACAGGTACGCGGGAAGGGGATGTCAACAGGGGAGACGGGTAGCACCTGTGCTTTAGGTGACGTAACACAGGGCTGCAAGTGCGCAAAAGGATGCGATACATTAAGGTGCAGCTGCAAGAAAATGGGCTTGTTATGCTCAAATCTTTGCGAAAATTGTCGGGAGGTAGGATGCCAAAATACCAAGGAAGAAGCTTCCTTTAGCGGCGATGAGTCGGATATTGAATAAAAGTATTTTAGAGACAAAAATATTAAAAATCATTTTACACAAAAAGTTAAAGGGAATAAATTAATCAAGTAAAGAAATTAGGAAATGTAAGTAAATAATAAGAAAAGTAATAAAAACATGAACCTTCAATTACCCTCGGAATCTTGTCAGCCGAATACACGACAGTTTATACAATCAAATATTCTTTAGCTTGCCATAGACCAAATAAAAATTTAGTTGATATTTTATTTCATTACTCACCTTTATATTTCTCAATTTGTGTCAATTAAATATTCGACGTTACTGAAAAAATTGCATTTTCACATTTATATCCTCAATTGGGCGGGGGGGAGGGAGGGGCTTGAAGGACAAGGCGCATAAGTGCAGTTTTCGCTATTTCGACAAAAACGTGTTAAAAGTTTATAAATTATATGAAGCCTCATGGCGGAGAGAAAGTTCCAACTCACATGTTGATGCTTAAAAATTGGATTTTATCAGTGAATTTTTCACAGAATTTATTTCAAACCTAGATTTAGTTGAA